CAGATGATGACACTGAAGTTTCAGATCAGAGTTTTTAACTATTTAAGAAGCACCACAGCAATTTCCTGCCTTTCTAAGTTTTCAGGCCAAGTGTTGTGTCCTATCAAACCTAGTGCCTGTGAAGACACCTGCTCCAGCTGTGCTCCATCTGTACTCTTTATCTCTCTTTCAATAATAATTACTTTTAAAGCCCTTTACTAAACAAATCCACCTCAGCTGTTCACTTGGTTGTGCAGGTTTGGTGTGACCCCTGGTCCAGCCCTTTTCCAGGCTGAAGTGTCCAGAAGTGTCCAGACCATGTGTCCTCTAGATCTGCCAGGGCAGCACCCAAAACAACTCTTGTGAACTCTTCTGATTACATGTCCACCACCTAGACAAATGAATCTGCCATGTCACAGGGTGTCCCTGAGCCTTCAAGTCCTCTGTACCACCAGCCAAGTGCTTCTCCAGTGCTCAGACTCCCTGTGTTGAGATGGGAACCTCAGGTCTCCCTGCTCCTTCCCTGCAGGACAGAAATGGGCAAGGCCACATCTCACTTCAGGAAATCAATCCTCCTATCCTATGGACCAAGGTGGGACTTCTCCAATGAAGACTGTGGGGTTAAGGGTATTTAAAGAAGCTCCAGTATTGCCCCTCACTACAGCTTTCAGAGCACTGTCCAAAGGGCACCCCTGCCAGCAGCTGGGACAGTGTGAGGATGCAAACAAGGACCCTGTGCCCTGTACAGAGAGCAGAGCACAGGGTGGGGGGGACAAGGGGAGACAGTGGCATTTCTGACCCTTGTCTAGAGGATCTCCTGTGCAGGGTTGCCATGTGCATCTCCAAGGCAAAACAAGATCAAGCACAAACCTGCAGCAGTAATTGCTCGGGTCTGTAACTGTGCTCATCACAGCAGACCAACAAGTTGCTACTGGAAAGATTTTTCTGTTGGAGCAGCTTCCCAAGGGAAGATCTGGTGTCTGCCAGTGAAAACTTCCAGAGGAAAAGATCAATTTTGCTAGTGCTTTTTAAATGAGAAACTCACTGAGCTATTTGATTTTAAGTCAATTCAGTATGAGTGTGTTGGGTTCAAATAAAAAACCTTCTAACTCTGCAATAAAAAAAAATCTGCAGGTTCCTGCAGTATCAGCAGGATGTTTCTGGAGCAGGGGGGGGTGAGTACAGGCCTGGATCACACATCTCTAGAGCAGCTCCCTGTGAGGCTGCCCAGTCCCACCAGTTTCCTCCTGACAGGTTTCCATGCAGTGACAGGAGGGGTGTGTGCCCGAGGGCCTGGCACCTGGACAGGGGGGAACAGGCCAAACTCCCCCACTCTGAGTTCCCTAGGCTGCAGAAACACAGATCCACAGGGAATCAGCCCAAAGCTTTCACAGGTGAGGTCTGTTCAACTGTTTCCTTGGGATTCAAAACACTGAGATGCAACACATGCCAGGCCAGGCTTGCATGCACTGGCAGGACTTTCTCACACTGCAGCTGGCAAACAGAAAAACCAGACAAGCTTCCAGGGATGCCCAGCATTCCTCAGATCCAAAGGCACCACCTTCACTTCCAAAACCCTGCCTTGCTCATGTGCTGGAACTATTACAGCTGCCCCATGACCACCATGAGGAGCAAAACCACCCGGAATGGACGGCTCAGAGAAGAACCTTCCTCTCTTTCTGCATTCTTTCCAACACCAACCAATATTTAGCCCTTCCCTATGTGTCCATGTAGGCCCACGTGTCCCACCAGGACCAGGGCCACCTGCACTTGGGACCCTCAAGCACTACAACTCACACATTGAAGAGCCTGCAAAACAAACACCCCTTCTGCTGCAACCTACCCCGGGCTATAAAGATCACTGACTGTAAATAACCATCACACCCAGGATTTAAACTCCTGGGAGTGATTTATTTACATGTGATTAGACAGGATGACTCGCAGCAGCTTTTCATGACACTCCAGTTCCCCTGAAGTGTGGAATTTTCTGTCTTGTTTAAAATAAATTAAGCAACTGGCAGACATGGAAACATCCTTTTATTTGGGATCACGTCAGATCCGAATGCAAAAATGTGACCTGCTGGGTCAGAACATTGCTCAGAGACCTTCCAGATGAGCAGGAGCAGGGGAGGCCTTGGCAAAGAGCTGCTCCTGCAGCAAACACAGAGTCAGCCCAGCCCCATGGGCTCCTTTTCCACTCACAGCAGCAATAAACATGTTACTGCTCGTTGCAAATGTGTGGGTAAGAAGCAGCAGCATCAGAGCTTCTCCCAACCTCCCAGCCCCTGTCATGGCAGCACAAAGGAGGTGTCTGAAGAGCTCAGGTAAGGACCCCAAACCCTCCAGACCCATCACCATCCCCTGAGAGCAGCAGCCAGCAGAGCTGAGCCAGCCAGAGGCTCCTGCCACCAACCCAGCATGTGCTGCACAGAGCAGGACAGGAGCAGAGGGGGTGGGGAGAGACCCCTCAGGGTGACAGGAGACAAAAAAAGCCACATCCACACAAGCACCCTTCCCTTCTGCATCCTTATGGAAAGCTTTGAGCTGCCACAAGCAGCAGCAGGGGTGGGCAGTGGGAGTCACTGCAGCCCCTGCCACACCACAGTGGTGGGACCCCAGGGGTGCCAGGAGAGGGGCACCCCTGCCAGAGATGTCCAAAGGTGCCCAGAGAGCCCCATCCTGGCTCCAGGTGCCACTGCAACACTGCAGGGCCACTTCACAGGGCCCATATCCCAGGTTTCACCCTACAAGCTGTGCCTTCACCCTCCCACTGCAAACACAACCTGAGCACCAGAAGTGACACTGTCACCAGCCCAGCGAGGCACCCCCGAGTGCAGCCAGCCTGCAGGAGCCCCTTGGGAGGGGACCATCCCCTCCCTCCCATGGGCTGCCAAGACACCTGGTGACACCCCCACAAACCATCACAACCCCCCCACCCATTGCTCCTGAGAAGTGAATGCAAAGAAGAAAAGAGGGGTGACCTGCAGGTGACTCTCTCCTTAGCTTCCCTGCAGGACGAGGCTGAGCTGCTCCCACCAGCAGCCCCACTGCTCCAGGGCAGCCCTCAGCCTGGGGTCCCCCTCACACCAAGGATGGTCCACTGAGCCACACCACCCCCACACTGCAAACGTGAGGGCTTTCTGCTCTCTGACCACCAGCCCATGTCCTTGCCACCTGCCCACCATTTCAGGATGGCAGGTCACTAGTTCCCAGAAGAGCTCCCATGAGGAAGTCAGGAGGACACCATCCTGCCTGGACTCACAGGCACGTCCCCCTTCCCCTTTTGAACCAAAACTGCTCAATGTTGGACAGTCTGGTGACACTTCTGGCTGGAAAGCACACTGTCCCCCTGAACTTGAAGCCAGCTGTTTCTCCCCATGGTTGTGCACTCATGGTGGGACACAGAAAAGCCACCTTCTCCCTTCCTTGCAAAAAGACCCAGCCAAACCCCACAGCTGGAGAACCACCTCCCCACCTGCAGATCTCATGGCAGCCATCAGCTCAGTGCAGACCACAGGTCTCAAAGCAAGAAGAAAGTTAAGCACTTCATTTCACCCTGACAAAGATGAGTCTTCCCCTCCCAAGATCTCAGGAAACGTGGCCAGTCACTTCAACTTTGAAATGAAATGTCAGGCTCCAAATGCATTTTTCCAAATGTATGAGAAAATGCAGAAGTACCCTGTCCTGCTGCCAGGGTGTCACTGGCACCCACCACAGCCTCCCCAGGTCACAGCACGGGATCAGCCAGGTTGGGAGAACACACCAAGGTCTGAGGTTACACTGGGACACACACCAAGCAAACCCTGAGTCACAAAGTGCTTGGGGCTGGAAGGAACCTCTGAAGATCACCTGCTCCAACCCCCTGCCAGAGCAGGGTCACCTACTGCAGATCCCACAGGAACACATCCAGGTGGGTTTGGAATGTCTGCAGAGAAGGAGACTCCACAGTCTCCCTGGGCAGCCTGTCCCAGCCTCTGTCACCCTCACAGGAAAGAAGTTTCTCCTTATGTTTTACTTGAACCTCCTGTGCTCCAGTTTGTGACCATTGCCCTTTTTCCTGTCCCTGGGCACCCCTGAGCAGAGTCTGGCCCATCCTGCTGCCACCCCCTGCAGATATTGACCAGCACTGATGAGATCCCCCCTCAGCCTCCTCCTCTCCAGCTGAGCAGCCCCAGCTCCCCCAGCCTCTCCTCAGGGCAGATGAGGAGGCAGCTCCTGCCCAACCATCCCAGGAGGAGAGAGAGAAAAGAAGGAAGGAATAAGATGGAAATGTGAGAATGAGCTCATCAGCCCAGGGTTACACAGCAAGTTCTGCTTTGGCCCAGGTTCCAGCTGCCCAAGGTGAACACTTTCATTCCCAACATCCACATCCAGCTCCCACAATAGCTCATTATTGCCCGGTGCTGCTGAGCAGTGTTTCCCTGGCTCCCCTGTGCCCTGGGGATCTTGCCCAGCTCCAAACTTCCAGCCCTGAAAATACAAGGCCTTGAAACCAGGAGGACAGCAAAGGGACCCATTTTGCTGTCTCCTTCATGACACAAACATAACGACACCAGTGTCTGAGTGACTGCAAATCTGTTCAGAGCACTTCAGAGCTACAACTGGGGGTCTTTCAGACTGAGCTGCCTTCTTGGATTTGAGGGCTTCAAACCTGCTTGAAGGCAAGAAAAGCAAGATGCCTAAAAAATACAGACAAAAAGGTTGGCAGGGAAATCTGTTCCCGAGAGAAGGGACCTCAGGATAAAGCAGGAGTGAGATGTGTGGAGGAAGATCCACCTGCTGGGAAGGGGGAAAGGGGAAAAGCAAACCTGCCCTGGTGCTGCTGCTCTTTTCAGCAGCTTCTCACTGGTATATTCTGGCTACAGTCATTAGGCTTCCTTTCCACACCTTTGGCAAATGAAGGAATTAAAAAGGAAGGTAAAATGAGTGCCCTGAGTGCTCCTGCCCCAGCAGGAGGGAGCAGAGCCGTTAGTACAAGTGCAGCTCCCACGAGAGTTAATTTGGAAATGAGCAACACTCACCTCTGCCAGGTAGAGGAGGCAGAACTTCCGATCTTCTGACCCTAGAGAGAGGGAAAAGCCAGGATCAGAATTCAGCTGTAACTGCAGTTCTGCAGGCAGGGACCCGGGCAGAGGAGCTGCTGAGAGGCAGCGTTTCATGCCTATTGATTGTTGTCGCCCTGCAGTGCCAGGCTGTGAGCTGGGGGTGATGTGTGCTGCATCTGGGCAGTGGAACCACTGCACTGTCATGGAGTCTCCTTGTGGAAAAAGGTTTGCTCCATTCAGAGGCCACACACAGGCTCTTTCACCCAACCCACCACGGCACATGCAGCCCCAGCCCTTCCCGGGGGCTGGGGAGGCCCCATGCCCACCCAGCTGTCCTGGGCACCAGGGTCAGGTCTTCCCCATCTGACTTTCATGGGCACTTGGCTGGCAGGAGGATCAATCTGAGCAGCTCCTTTCCTACATCCTTACTCATTCCCAGCTTCTTGCCCCGAATCCTTGGCAGGGCTGGTGGTAGCTCTGCCTAGTGCTGCCTGTCCCAGGGGTTGGTGCCTCTTCAAGGAGGTAGAGCCAAATCCTGACATGGGCCAGGGGGAAGAGCTCATCCTGCTCAAGCTGCTCAGCTGTCCCAGGGGATGGGTTGAGCTCCAGCTGCTCCACCAGGCTGGTTCCTGCAGGCCTAGTGCCCCCCAACCCCCACAAAAAGGCTTTCCTATAGATCTGCCCTGGTCTTTGCTCCCTGCTGATGAGACACAGTGTCCCCAGCCCCAAGGGAAGCCAGGCACACATCACCCTCAGGAGAACATGAAGATGCCACAGGACAGGGTCACCTCAGCTCTGGAGCAGGACATCCCACCTCCTGGAGCTGGCTGGCTCCCTCAGGCCAGCATGCCCTGCACCAGCTCTGCCCCTGGCAGCACAAAGCACCCCTGGGCTGCAGCCTCATCACCCTTTTAATGACCTGATCCATGCCATGAGACCAGAGCTCACAGCCCAAGCAGTGTCAGCACCAGCTCTGCTTCCTTTCAGCAGCCTGAGCTGTGATAATGATGGGAACAGGCTCAGCACAGTGCTGGAAACACCCAGTTCCCCAGGGGAAAGCAATTCCTCTGCCACAGGCAGCAGCTCAAACAGCTCAAGATAAGAGCTGTGACCCATGGAGATGCCTCCTGAGTCACTCCATGGGCAATGCAAAACTCATGAAGAAGTTTCATGGCCTGGAGCCGTTTTCTGGATGCCTCTTCCAGCTGCTCTTGGAGGGATCACAGGCCTGTCCCTCCCCAGCTTCACTTCTAATGCAGGACAAGGGCTGGAATATCACTACAGGGACACCAGGACACGGTGCCACAGCAGCTCTGGAGCCCAGCACCACTGGGAGCAATGCTGTGGACCTCTTGGGAGGTGAGCCCTGGACTGTTTTCATAAGCTTCAGTCTGATCCCACCTGGCCCTGGGGCTCCAGTGCTGATTTTCCAAACCTTCACTCCCACAAGAGGAGCAATGCTGAGCCCTGACAGCACCCACTGAACTCCTGGATGGGAGCCCATGTCTCACCTCTGCACCACAAACCACATTCACTGCTCTACACCACCCTACTGGAGCTCTCCCAGCACCCTCTTCCATAAATCCCTGCAGGACCATCAGGGAGCATTTTCCTTAGCTAAGACACAGTCTCCTGTGCAAGTCCCTCAGCCAGTGTTCCCTTCAGGGAGGGTTTGGAAATAGAATCTGAGCCTGCTGCTGGCACACCATGAGGCCACCATTCCCTTCTGCTGCTTCTGCTTCCCAAGTGCTCAGCAGCACAAAAGCCACCTCACCTTCTCAGCTGGGCTCTCTGCTCCTCCCTGCACAACCAAAGGCTACCTGGCAAAGCAGGTTGCTGAAGACCACCACCTTTCCCTCAGGAGCTCTAGCCAAGCTTTCCCAGCTGATCTGAGGAACAAGTCACCCTCTGGAGGCAGGCACCCTCAGCAAAGGAAGGTGACATCAGAGTGTAACAGCCAGGGGAATGACCCAGCTTCTCTTGAGCCTCTTCTGCAATGACAAGTGACCCCAACAAAGCCCAAAACCATCTGAACTAAGTTCTCTTCCAAATTATTTTGACCCCTCCCTGGCAGTGTTGAAGGGCAGGCTGGATGGGGCTTGGAGCAACCTGGGCTGGTGGGAGGTGTCCCTGCCCATGCAGGGGGTTGGAACTAGATGTTTTTTAAAGTTTCTTCCAACCCAAACCAGTCTGGGATTCTGGGATTCCTGTCTGCTCAGTTGAGTCTTGGCATTAGCAGCCCCCACCAGCAGCAGCTCCTGTCCCCTTGTCCCTCTGATGCTCAGGGCTGGGACACACAGGGCAGGGAGCCAGCCCAGGAACTGATACATCCCATTTTCTACCAGTAATGGCCTTTAGAGAGGAAATAAATGGGAAGGTGAGGTTCAAGGGCAGGCAGGAGAGGGACAGCAGAGCCAGAAGGGCAGACGTGGGCATGGATTTCAGCACACACCAGGTTTGATGGGATCTTCTTCCACTAGAGTTCTTTCCAGTCTCCAAAGGGTCAGGCTGGTGTGCCAGTGCCTGCTGTGTCCTGCTGCAATGTGTGCTGCTCACCTCCTGCTCCACGGGCCATGGGGCCATGGAAGACAAGGGGAGGGGACCAGGGAGATGGCAAACAGCCACCAGAGCTGATCCAGGGCTCTGTGCCACACACGGTGCTGCTGCTGCACCTTTTCTGCCAGCTGAGCAGCACAGGCTGCCAGGCAACCCTGAGGGAAAAGGAGCAGGAGGGAAAAAAACCTCACTTGAAGATACTTCAGCTTCCTCCTGATGTGTTGAGATGGGACTGGGGTGTCCTTTGCAGGATCCCAGCTGGGGATGGGGCTGACAGCCTGGAGATCCTCACCCAAGCTGAAAACCAGGAGCTCTCCTCTCTGTCCCCAGGGCTGAGCACACCCCCCAGCAGGGCAGGTTCCCAGCCAGGCTGTGACCTCTGCCTGGAAATTCCCACAGTATCCAGTGAGGAAGCCAGCCCTGTCACACTGGAAACCTTGGCCAGCGTGGTGCTCATCAGCCAGGCTGGGCTTCTAAAGCAGGAAGGCTGAGCATTGTGAAGCAGATTAGACTGATCTGCTTTCACACAGGGCAGCAGCAGCAGCAACAGGAAGCAGCACAATGGTCTGCAGCAGCCCGGAGATGTCCCAATTGTTGGACTCAGCAATGCTCCTGTTCCTATTCATGGGCCCTGCAGTTAGTCAGGAGAGCAACAGGAATTCCCTGCCAAAAGGGACAGGCAGCTTTCTGCTCTTCCCTCGGAAGGGCCATGCCCAAACCAGGAGGGGGAAGTGCCTGAAAAGCCCCAGAGCTGGAGCCCTGGTGCAACGGGGGAGGTTGGGTCTGCAGAGCCAGACGTGCCCCTCAGGGAGGCTGGCTGAGCTGCCCCACTGGTCACAGAATCATTGAATGGTTTGGGCTCGAAGAACCTGAAAGATCATCAAGTTCCAACTCCCCTGCATGGGCAGGGACACCTCCCACCAGCCCAGGTTGCTCCAAGCCCCATCCAACCTGCCCTTCAACACTGCCAGGGATGGGGCAGCCACAGCTT